CTTTCGGTCGCGGCGCTCTCGAGAGCGTCGATCTTCTTGCTCAGAGCGACGATTTTCTTCGCCGTCGAGGCCGCATTGTTATCCGCTCGCGTTCTCGCGCTCGCGATAAACGTGATTATTCGCCACGTTCGCTCTCACCGCGTGTATAACGCTTTCGACGTAACTTTTGTTCGTCGCGTCGTCGTTGTTGGTCGGCCAGGCCACTCCTCGTATCTTGAGACGCCGCGCGTCGTAATGCGACGCGGAGGGAGAGACGTCGGAGACGGTCAGGCACAGCGCGTTATCGCGCACGTAATTTCGCAGAGATTCCATGCTCGCGCGCAATCTAGCGCTCGTCGCGTCGCGACCGGGTCTTCTCCGCGTCGAACTTGCTCGCGAACATCGCATCGTCGAATGAGGCGCGCGCGTGTCGCCGCGATCGTTTCACAGTATCTCGCCCGCCTCGCGGAGCTTCTCGATTATCGACAGGATCTCGTTGTCGTCAGTGTTGTTGCCGGCTTGACGAGAAGCGTCCAGCAATCGAAGACGATCCACCAATTCGTTCGGATCGTCCCAGTGAACGTAGTCCATGGTGTCGCGGGTCGCGCGCATAGCCCGCGGCACGCGACTCCCGCCGATTCTCTTCCTCGGACTGTCCGTCCGCAGGATCGGAGCTATGACGTGTTTGTACTTGTATCCCTTGTTTCCCAGTACAGGCATGCGAATATTGTGCTCGCGCCTGTGAGCGTTAGTTTGCAGAAGTATGCTCTTGTACGCGGCTTTGTCTCTCTCGGTGTACTTGAAATCGTCGGGAATTCTCTTGAAGATCAATTCATACAGACCGGGAGTACCGGCGTATCTGACTCCGTCCACGAATATCGCGTCGTCGGCGCCTACGTCGAATCGCTTGTCCCCGAGCATAGTGCCTGCGTCGGCGAAGTAGACTCCGTAAACGTGATCGAAATCGTTCGGCGCGCCACCACCGAGAAGAGCGCCCACGTACTTTCGCGCCAACGGGCCCAATTGATCGCGCAAGATGTCTCGCCCTCGAGAAGTCCGCAGAGACCGTCTCACAGACGTTTCGAGCGTCGCCGGCGAAGAAGAAGTCGTCGCTCGTCTCGAACGTCTCCTCGACGGCTGCGCGAAGAGGTCTCCGCTCGCGAATTCGGGCTGCTGCGCGGGAGACGCGTCCGACGCTCCCGCGGGCGTGGAAGTCGTCGCGTTCAGACGGCCTCTTCTTCGTCGTCCTCCTCCTCCTCCTCCTCCACCGACGCCTCCGTTCTCTTCACGCCTCGCGCGAACGTCTCGTCGATCTCGCTCTTCGCCGGTTCCTTCTCTCTCGCGCTCGCGCCTCGCGCGGAATCGTCTCCGACGCGCTCGGCGATGCGTCGCAACGGTTCGATGATCGGTTTGAAACGCGTCTCCAGAACGCTATCGCTCTCCATCCTTCCGGTCTTCAGCGCTCTGTGCTTCCTGCGAATCGACGCGCGCGTTCTCGCTATCTCTATCGCGGTTTTCTCGCGTCTATCGACGTCCGTCATCGCGCGTCGTTCCTCGACGTTTCGCTTTCTCTTATCTCTCTCCCCTCTACGATCGCCGCCGTCGGGAAGACTGACTCATCCTCGACGACGACGCACGCGACGCTCTATAGCACGGCGTAATCGTTGAACCCTCGCCTGTATCTGCCGTTGCGCAGCGCGCTATCTTTGTCGATCACTAGAAAACCGTATCGGTATTTTCAACACGCGCGACACAGCGCGTGAAAATCCTCGTACGGCATATCGGTATTCACGTGATCGCTGTGCACGTGTTTCAGATTAGTGCCATCCTGCTTAAAGAGAATCAATAGATTCGCGTTGTCGCGTATCAGATGTTTGGGTATCTTAGCGTACGATTGGCACAGATAGAAGCAATCGACCTTTGCGTGACGCCCCATGGCGAAGTACTCTCTCACGACGTCCTGTTTGTCGCAGGCTACGTCGTCGAATATCGAGTTCGGCGACGCCTCGCTAGGCGGGATGACATCGGCGTTGTTCGAATACGTGAAGTAACCAATATCCCTCATACGTTTCAACAATTTCTCCAGATATCGATATTTAGGCTGATGCAACGATTTCGAGTAAACATACACGTTCTCGAATCGCAAGCCGTGCGGGCTCTCCAGAAGGCTTATCAGCACGTTCGTTTTACCGCAATTAGAGGGACCGCAGATTACGCAGCGGATCGCGATCGGTAACAGATTACCGTGTCTTCGCGGTTCCTCGTACATCGAGCGCGTCTTACCGTCGACGTTGGACACTCTTATCGCGATCGGTTGACGCACGAAACGCATCGTTTTTTCTCTCTCTCTCTCTCCTCTCGCGATTGTTCCTCGTTGTCGCGGGCGAATCTGCGTCTCAGTGCGCAGACTCGCGCGCGCGCGAGCAACGAGCGCGGATTCGCCCTCGCGAACGTATATATATAGAGGGAAAAAAACGATCGCGCAGTTAGGCGTGTCCGATCGACGGTGACACGATAGAGTTACGCGCGCGCGCGCGCGCGACGCTTCGTCATGTTTATTCTATTGGTGAACGATTCCGATATTCTCGGACTCAGCGTCGATCAGTTGCAGTACGTTCCGAAGAAGCTTCTGCTGGACAAGTACGGCGATTTCGTCGATCGATTGTGGGAGAGATTGCCTATACATCTGAAGGACGATCCGGACGTCCAGCGTTATCGCCTCTGTCACAAGCATCACAATCAGCCGTGGCAAGACACGCACATCGACGGTCCGCCGCCGTGCATCAAAGACTGCGGCATGTGCCGGGAGAACGAAATGGCGTGACGATGAGCGCGTCGACGATCGAGGCGTATGAGATATGCCGAGGACGCCGCGACGGCAGTCATCGGCGGTAGCGGTTTGCTCAATAGAACTATAAACGCTCTTCCGTTCGAAATACATATACCGGGATAGTTCTGCGGTCCCGGTACTCGTCTCGCGAAGCGGCTCGCACGAGACGATCGAGGCGTCCGCTGGACGCGGCTTGCCGCGAGCACGACGTCGCCTATTCGCGGAGCGACGATCTCGCCGATCGGCACGTCGCGGATCGGGCGCTCGGAGCGAGAGCGTTCGAACGTATCCGGGCCAGGGATTCGACCCTCGACGAGAGAGTGGCGGCGTCGGTCGTATGGGCGGCTATAAAGGCGAAGACGAAACTAGGAATGGGTATGGCTGGAGCGCGAAGAAGCGCGAGAAAGAGCGGCGATGTCGGCGGCAAGAGAAGAACGATCTCGACGAGGAGGAGAGGACGACGAGAGGACGGGTTCTTCCCGCGACGAAACGCGGCGGCTTCCTGCCGCTGTTGCCGGCGCTCGGAGCTCTAGGATCGCTGATCGGCGGAGCGGCCGGCGTGGCGAAGATAGTGAACGACGGTAAGGCCGCGCGTCGACAATTGGAGGAGCTGCAGCGACACAATCGAACGATGGAGGGCCGCGGTTTGTATCTCGCGCCTTACAAGCGCGGCGGAAGCATCGCGAGACGAGGCGGACGAACGGTTAGAAGGAAGAAAAAAAAAAGTCGCGCCTTCGCGCGCGTTAGACGACGTCGTAGCTCCGATCGGCGTCACGACGAACGAACAGTTGAACAGCGCGGCCAGGCGCGCTCGCGTGCGTCACATCAGAGGTGTGTTCATGCGCGACGCGTTGCCGGCGCGAGTTCGTCGCGACGAGAGTGGTATCGTGAACCTGGACGACGCCTCGGGGCACGCATTGGGTGGCGTACGCTAAAAGGGGAAAAGACGCTATCTACTTCGACGCTTTCGGCAATCTTCGGCCGCCTCGAGAACTCGCGCGTTATCTCGGACGCGACACGCGCATCGCGTACAATCGCGACTCTCAGCAGACGTACGATCAGAGCGTCTGCGGACAATTGTGCCTGCGCTTCCTTCGACGAGTCGATTGGGGAGGAGGAAGCCCTTCGGTCTCTAACGGCGATAGAGCGCGTCGTCATGTCGCTGATTCTCACGCTGACTGGAAGAAGCAACGTTCTCACGGCGAGTTACTTTCCGATCTGAGCGACGACGATTACGAGCTCGGCCTGACCAATCTCGAGACCTACAACACGATTCCGAACGTGAATTCCTCGAACAATAAATTTTACTTCGACGACAACGACGAGACGATCGCGATCCCGATCGGATCCTACGAGCGCGCGAGCTGCGCGATATAAGCGCGTATCTGAGAGCCGCGATTCTTCGAAGACGGCGACGACCGCCGAGCGCGAGTACCGGAGGGAGAGACGGCGGCAATGGCGCCAGCGACGGCGACGACGAGGAATATCTGTACGACGTCGAGGACGCGGAGGACGAGAGCGGCGATCGCGTTCTCGCGCTACGCGGTAACGACAATACCATGAGAAGCGAAATCAAATGCGCGTACCGAATTAATTTCACCAAACCGAACAATATCGGATCGTTATTAGGTTTCTCCCAGTCTCGCGTATTGCGGCCGAACAAATGCGTCCGACGAGCCCGTGAGCATTATCGCGGTTAACACGATTCGCGTGGAGTGCAACCTGACGACGGGCGCGTACGTGAACGGGAGATCCGTCCACGCGATACACGAATTCGCGCCGAACGTCCCGCCGGGATATAAAGTGTCGGAGATCCCGAAGCAGATCATTTATCTGCCGGTTATCGCGCGACTCGTGACCGATGTATCGCTGCGCGTCGTCGATCAGGACGGTCGATTGATCGATTTCCGTGGCGAGGAGAGCTCGATTCGACTGCACGTGCGACGCAGACGATAGAAAGAGCGCGGCGAGACGCGAGGACGGGGGAGCGAACGGGGCGATGCTCGTCGTGCGCGAATCTAGCGTCGCGACGTTGCGTCGCGGCGGCAGCGGCGGCGACCGCGATCGCGTCGCGGGAACTCGAGTCGCGCGCTCGAGAGAGAGGAGCGTCGGGGGATTGTCCGCTGCCAACGTCGCTTTTCTGCGATCCATAGGTTTCGTCGTACCGAGAGCCGCGCGATAGTTCGATGACATGGGGGACATTCTGAGCATCGGCGGGGAACCCGTCTTCGACGATCGCATCGTGAAGATCGAGAGTCACACGTACAATCCGTACGCCAATATCACTTTCGGATACAGCGACGAGATACGAATACCCATACAACAGCAGGACCTATACACGCTGCCATGCGAGAGTTTTCTCTACGTCGAAGGTAGACTGCACGCGAAGAATAATCCGCCGCCCGCGTCAAGCGGCGAATCGGGTAAACCTGCCTCGGCCTCTAAGGAGCCGTCCGTGTCCTCGACGCCGGCGTGGCTCATGAACAATTGCGTCGCCTTTATGTTCGAGGAGATACGTTACGAGCTCGATGGCGTGGAGATCGATCGTAATCGCAACGTCAGAATAACCAGCATCAAGAACTACGTCTCGCTGACGGCCGAACGAGGCAAGATCTTGAAGAACGCCGGATGAGATCTCGCGACTGGACCGAGCGGCGTCGCGTCGACGGGCGACTTCAACTTCTGCGTTCCTCTCGACACGCTGGTAGGTTTCTGCGAGGAATACAGGCGCGTTGTCATCAACGCGCGTCACGAGCTGATTCTGATAAGAGCGCGAAACGACAACAATTGTCTGATATCGCGCGAGGAATTCGAGCCGAGAGTCGAGCTCGCGAAGATACAGTGGCGCGTGCCGCACGTGGTGCTGAATGACGTCAACAAATTATCGCTGTTGCGCACGTTGGACAGCGGCAGATATCTGAGCGCGCTCTTTCGCTCGTGGGATCTCTACGAGTTTCCGCTCCTGCAAAGCACGACCAAACACTCGTGGGCCGTAAAAGCGGCCACGCAACTCGAGAAACCGCGTTACGTCATCTTCGCGTTGCAGACCGGAAGGAAGAACATCCTGTCGCAGAACGCTTCCAGATTCGACGCGTGCAATCTGACCAACGTAAAGTTGTATCTCAATTCCGACTTCCATCCGTACGACGATATGAATTTGGACTTCGATAAGAACAAGATCGCCGTACTGTACGACGCCTACGCGAGATTTCGGCGAACGTATTACGGATCCGCGAGCGACGAGACGCTCCTGACTATAAACAAATTTCTACACTGTGGCCCGCTCGTGGTGATAGATTGTTCCCGCCAAAACGAAGCGGTTAAGAGCGCCACTGTGGACGTTCGTCTAGAATTCGATTGCAAGGACAACGTTCCTTCTAACACCACGGCGTACTGCAATCCGCTGACGAACGTCGTGCGTAAGATCCTGTAAGACAGCGCGTCGAACGAGAGGAGAGAGAGGAAACTCGAAACCGCGGAGATATCGGGGAGAGACGCGCGGATCAACTTCAGTCTCTCGCGACGATGACCGCGACAACGGTCACGGGCGATATCGCCCCACCGATCTTCGTCGATCTGCAGAGCTTCGTCGTCAACGAGCGATTCGTGACGAAGGAGATGGCAATACTCGCGAACGGTAGAGATCTAACGCATCACGTCTTTCGCGCGCCGATGTCGTGGAATCTGCTGACGAAGAGCGAGAAGTCGCAGGCCTGTTGGCTGACTCTTAATCATCATGAATTTCACTGGACTGACGGACACGTGGAATATAGGCACGCGAAGCAGATCGTTCGCGACGCGATATATCGCGCGTTGAGGGATCTCGTGTCGAACACCGCGGTGACGATCTACGTCAAGAGTCGCGAAAAGAAGAAGTGGCTGGCTGACATCGCGGGAGAGGTCGCGGAGCAGCTCGATCTGACGATCGAGACCATCGACGCCGATTACGAGGATATCGGACCCCTTCGAACGCTAGCCGCGACTCGCGTCTATCGCTGCGGCTATCACTCGAAGAATTGCGCCTTAGAAAACGTGTGCAAACTGCACAACTGGTGGTTGGAGAGACGCGATCAATTGGGCGACATGTGAACAGAGACGCGTCGCGCGATGACCCGCGCGCCTCGCGCGTTTTCCGCATCGTAGATTAGTTTTGCGCGTATTCTTATCGACGACTTATCGCCTACCTAAAAAGTATTATTAATACTTAGAAAGATACTATTAATACTAAGAAAAAAATAATATTAAAATAATATTAAAATAACATTAAAATAATATTAAAATAATATTAATTAGCGAATAAACGTTAACTCGTATCGCGCGTACTTAAATCGCGGTTAAACGCATTTTCCGGCACTTCCTCCGTAGCAATCGAGAATTTATCGCGCCTCATTAAATTACCTCGTTATATTTCCGCGTCGCGCGATTTTTTCATACCGCCTTAGATTATAGCATTAGCATTAGCATTCGACGGAATCATAACGGCTCGGCGATAGCGATATCGCGCGATTTTTTCATACCGTCTTAGATTATCGCATTAGCGTTCAACGGAATCATAACGACCCGGCGATAGTAATATCGCAGGTATAAATTAACGCCGAAAGACCGTTTTTCCTCAGAATGAGTCTCGCGATCGCGATCGCGTTGTTGAGTGCGTCTGATATTGCAAGTGTTCTTAGTGCGTCTAGTGTTCCTAGCGTGTCCAGCATTCATTCTCGGAGTTATCAAGAGACACGGTAGTGTCTTGTGCTAAGTCCCGCGTAAGCAACAAGACGCGCCGTGTATCATTACGCGAGTCGGATAGTTGGAGATGTTCGAGATTATCATATTGAAATAATCGCTGAACGGATCGAGTTCTTATTAGGCTTAATGGATAGCTTGAGGTTGATTTATATAAGAAAAGTGTCTTTATTTTTGCTCTACATGCATCGTGAACAGCAATATTATGATCCAAAGTCGAAATATGAAAAATTTTCATTAAGAAACGTCTCCTTGGTCATCGTCACCCAAGTCCCCAATGCGCAAGCGTAAAAAGTTGTACGTTTGCCGCATTCGACGTAAGATTGCGCTAGCGGCGCTCCGTGATGTTAAGACTATTATATACAGGGTGTCTCATTTTAATCGATGGATCCAAATTTCTCCTAAACTACATCAGTTACAAAAAAATGTTTCAGACGAAAGTTGTATGGCTTGAAGAGGAACATAAGGTGGTGTCATTGGTTTGGCATTGAAAATCACCTGAAGTTACGTGAAGATCACATCCAACTTTTTAAATGGGACTTCTTATATGCTTTTGCATATTTTTTTAGTTCATCTCGAGAGCTTTCCGAAATACTATAATTAAGTTAATTTTCATTAAGTAGTTTTCAATTATGAGACTTGAAATCATTTCTTAATTTTACATAAGTCGTAAAATATCTAGTAAAATATTCATTTTTCGATTATCTTATCTTAATACTTTTATACTTAATACTTTTATCTTAATACTTTTAGTTACAAAATAATAAGCAGAATCAAATGGTGTAAAGAAAACATACAGTTGTTTAAGAAAAAATATGGAATTGTTAATTGCAAATTACATATTTTTTTCCTCGGAACAGTTATATGTTTTTTTTACACCCCAATTGATTCCTCTTATTATTTTGTACACAAAAGTATTAAGATAAGTTAAACAAAAAATGAATATTTTACTAGATATTTTACGATTTATGTAAAATTAAGAGATGATTCAAGCCTCATAACTCAAAAACTACTTAATGAAAACTAACTTAATTATAGTGTTTGGAAAGCTCTCGAGATGAACTATAAGAATATGTAAAAGCATATAGGGTGTTCTATTTAAAAAATTGGATGTGATCTTCACGTAACCTTTAGGTGACTCTTCAATGTCAAACCAATGACACCACCTTATGTCCCCCTTGAAGCCATACAACTTTTGTCTGAAACATTTTTTTGTAGCTGGCGTAGTTTAGGAGAAATTTGGATCCATCGATTAAAATGGGACACCTTGTATACAGGGTGTCCTAGACCACCCGTACACCCCTTTCTTTTCAAAAACTAAGCATTTTAGAGAAAAAACGTTTTAGACAAAAATTGTATGGTTTTGAGGGGAACATAAGATGGTGTCATTGGTTTGATCTTGGATGGCATCGTTAAGGTCAGGTCAAGGACACCTTTAATTTCTTAAATGGAATCACCTTTTTTTTATTGCATATTCTTATAGCTTATGTCGAGAGCTTTCCAAAACACTAAAATAAAGTATTTTTTTATTGAGTACTTTTCGATTTATAAAACTTAAAATAAAATCTTAATTTTACATAAACTATAAAATATCTAGTAAAATATTTATTTCTCGATTATCTTACCTTAATACTTTTATGTACAAAATAACTGCTAATTAGCAGCGCTAAGTTTTTTAACTAAAATTTTTTTATATGTATTAATTTTTAATTTTTATATAATTTTTTATTCTTTATTTATTAATTTCTAATTTTAATTTTTTTAATAATTTTTAATTTTGTATTTGTATTATCATTTTCTTTTTTTTTTAATTAAACTTTTCAGGATACATGCATATGATTATTGCAATGTATATGATTGTTCATATTTTCAATTCGATTTTTTATAATAGATATATTACAATTCATTTAATATCATTTTTCTTTTAATATTGAAAATAAAAAAGAAATATGTCTATTTTATAGTAAAAATTTTTATTCAGTTGGCGCAACTTTTTAATATTATTTGTATGAAATTAAAACAATTATTTTGTACAATTTTTTTTAGTTAAATTATTTTAAGTTTTTATTTTCAATTAGCGTAATTTTTGGATATCATTATTTTTCTAGGATATAATGTAGAAAATTAAATCAGCTATTTTGTATAACTTTTTTTGGTTAAAGTATTTTTATAAGCTTTTATTTTCACTTAGCGCAACTTTTTTGATATCATTATTTTTGTAGGATATACAATACAGTAGTTTTTTACAGTTAATAATACACTATTTTGCAAATACATATACTGTTTTTTACGCGGACTTAGCACCTTTTTTTACCTTTTTTTTTAAATTTTTTTCACGCGAACGACGATGAGCCGCAATGAAATTTCGAGATTGCGGAGGATGCTCCACGAATGCACGTTCACGCCGTGGATGTGCTTGTAAAAGATAAAGTATTGTACATCAGAAATCTCATGGATGCGATCCTCAATATAGCTATAACGTGGAACATAAGTACTCATTCATCATCCTTCTTTATTCTTTCGCTCTTCTTCGAGGAAAAAATACGACGTACATTGATCGCGCGACATTTTTTCATAGTTCGAGAATGAGGTTGAGATCCCTGGATTCGTCAACATACACCGCCGACATTGGATACGACAGACGAGACTGAAGCAACGGCGATTCTTAAACTCGTTATGGTGCGACCGGCCGTCCTGTAGAAAATGGGAGAGGCGCTCCCCTAATATCTACGCTGACATCTTTCGATTAAGAAGATTATTCGGTATGGAGCCGCTCGTCTCGGATCGCGCATTTAAAACCGAAGATTTCTGCGACGATTCTCCTGTGGAGATATGGTACGATGACGCAAGCTCCGTCCGCACGGATGACGGCGGATTTTAATCGAGGTACGGATCTCTTCTCGTATAACGCGCCGTTCTTTCCTTTCGCGTATCTCGATACGAATTATTAATACACGGCTTTACATATTTCAGACGTCTCGTCAATCTCGACGCTGAAGGACGGTGCCGAAGGACGGCGCCGAAGGACGGCGCCGAAAGACGGCGCCGAAGGACGGCGTCGAAGAACAGCGCCTTCCCTTCCTCCCGAACTCTGCCCGCATCGCCCCCCCCCTCCCCTTGCGCGCGTCGAAACTCATCGTCGCTCGTGCGAACTGAGTTCGTTTCGCCGATCGGGCTATCTTCGCGTCACATTTCTACGAAGGATTCGTTGTCGAAGAGACGTACGTGTCGGCGCACTCTTACACGATCCTATATATTCATCTCTATGTTCATATAATCCCTTTTATAGGGGCATTTATGGTTGATTCATAGGTCATTTATTGTTGATTTATAGTTCATTTATGGTTCACTTATGGTTCACTTATGGTTCACTTATGGTTCACTTATGGTTCATTAGCAATGTCGGTTGAAGAACGCGTCAGTTTGAGTATATAAGTCTTGTTTTTGCCGCTCCTTTTTTTTAAATGGTCGTTTCATATGGGTCGTTTTACAGTCGTTCTTACAGTCGTTCTTACAATAAATTTTCCAGTTTAAACGCACATGTTTTTTGTAAGACCGTTTATGCGCGATCATTCAAGAATGCGATAAAATATTTTTCTCTTAAAAATTTAGGGTCGTTCTTACAGGTCGTTCTCACAGGTCGTTCTCACAGGTCGTTCTTACAGGTCGTTTATATATATATATATATATATATAT